GTGCCATTTTTATCCCTACAGAGCATCTGCAGCACATTGAAAGCTGAACAGGAGCCAAAGAAGCTTTGGGATGAGTTCCAAAGGCCCAGACACTGTGGTCACAGCCAGCCCTAAGACCCCACTCTGGTCCCCTCCATTCACAGTCTGGGTGACAAACACCCCTCAAAGGTAACTGCCCACCCAGAGGGAACAGCCCTGGGCTGGAGGAGGCAGCAGAAGAGCTACCAAATATCAATGAAGCACTAGCCATGGGCACTCTCAGCATCCCAGAGAGCCAGGAGGTAGGTCCAGAAAGGATTTAGGACAACTGCTCCATGCACACACACAGACAGTTCTCAGCTTTATAATTCCCATCAGGAAGGCAGAGCATAACCATACACTGCTCCAAAGAGGCAGATCCATCCCTAACACCTAAAGGTTTAACAACCTCCAACTTAGCTCTATTTTCCATGGCACTTCAGCTTGGAGGTGACACCACAATAACTCAGAGCATCACCATGCACTGCTCCAAAGAGGCAGATCCATTCCTAAAGGTTTCACAACTCCAACTTGGCTCCATTTTCCATGGCACCTCCAAGCTGAGGTGACACCACATGAGTTCAAAGCCCTATCTTGAGGCTGAGGACACACTGCAGGTCCCAAACCACCAGTAGGACCCTCTGTTAGAGCAGCCTGTGCTGACTGCACCCAACTCCATCTGGTTTCACTGTGTGCTGGACTCCAAACCAACTCACATGGCTTTTCCCAGTGGGTTCAAAGTTCCAGGCACATCCCAGAGCTAATAAAGTCTGGCTGGGGCAATCAGACCAAGGCAATCACACCAGGAGCATCACACTGATGTTCATGCAAATCATGCCCCAGCAAGGCAGTAGTTAAGAGCAGCTTTGGGTTCTCATTAACCCAAGCACTAATAAAGGTTTAATCCCAACTTCCTTCCACCCAGACTGCTCAGGAGGAGTCAGCACAAAGCTCCTCCCACAGCACACACATGAAAATCTTGATTTTCTTTAAGTGCAGTTACGATCAAAGTGAAATATGAGACACACACACAGAGGGATATTTTGGGATTATCATATCTTGGGATTACTCAGCTGTTTGAACTCCAAGGAGAGTGTGTTTGATGGTGCCAGGGGAGAGCAAAGAGAGAAAAGCATGAAGCCTTGGGAAGCTCCACCTGCACAGAGACTCTTCATGCAGTACCAGTGTGTAAGGAATAATACAGAAGACTCACTGCTCCATCTCTGGGAGTGTTCCAGGACACAGTGGATGGGGCTTGGAGCAACCTGGGCTAGGGAAAGGTGTCCCTACCCATGGAATGAGGTGGAACTACATGATCTTTAAGGTCTTTTCCAAGACAGGCCATTTTATGATATTCTGACTCTATGACTGTGGCTTTTAGGGTTAACTATATCCCTGAAAAGCCTCACCCACATGTCCTGGAGAGCAAGAGGAAATCCACTCCCTTGGTTCCACTCCCTTTCCATCCATCCCCCCAGAGGTAGGTCCCAGAGCAAACATCCTCCCCTTCCCCCCATCCCAACCTGTGTCCCAACCTCCTGCACCAGCCCCAGAGTTGCTGCTCTGCCCTTCACCACCAAAACTCTCCTCTCCAGGCCCCAGAGGCAGTTTGTAGAGCTCAGCTGGAGTTTTGTGCTGCAACCACAGCTGGTCAAAGTGCTTTTAGCACAATTAAGTGTAATCAAATCAGGTTGTTTTCCCTCCAACCTGAGCTGTTTCACAGAGATGCCCTGGTTTGAACTCCCCTCTTAGACAGGCAAGATTTGGATGTCTAGGATATTTCCAAGCTGGAGCAACAGGAGATGAAGATACTCCAAACATTCGTGTTTTTCCACTCAGCTGTTGCCATTCCTCCAATTCTTTCTGCAAAAGCACTCAAAGGTTTGTTTGGAAACTCAAAGTGCAGCAAAGAGCAACGTTCTGGGCTGCTTTGCTTTGAACCCTCCTGTGAGGAGCTGATGGGAAACAAGTCCTGCAGCTAAATTCTCAGCCTGGGAGCTCAGAAATGCTTCCCAGGGTGGCAGGAGCAGGTTCTCAGGGCTGGTTTTGCATAGCTCCCCAAGAGTTAGGTGGGCAGATGTGCTGGGGGAGCTCAAAGGGACTTTGACAGACCTCAGGAGAGGCCTGAGCTCTGCTAGGGCTCAAGGGAAAACAAGGTTTGGAGATTCCATGGGCTCTACAGCAAACCTGTGCTCAGCAGATAGGATACACAAGGTCAAGGCTTCCAAGATGTGAAAAGAACATAAAGTCCATGGGACATGACCAAAAGGTGATGTGAAGGCAAGTGAAAGAGCTGCCAAGTCAGCTGGATGCTAAAATAAGAAGCACATCTCCCCTGAGCAACACCTGTTAGAGCAGCCTGTGCTTACTCATATCTCCCTACCTGAGATATGAGTAACTCAAGGGCACTTTGTTTTTGTTATTTCTCAACAACACAGGCTGGACAGGTCTCCACCAGGCTGGAAGAAGCAGGTCCAGCACACATGGTGTTGGGTTTCCAGCCCTTTCCAGTTGCCATCTCTCCTGCTGAGCCATGGGGAAGGGGATGTGGCTTCATTAAAGCAATTGCATTCTATGCAACAAATGACCTACAAAGAGGAGTCCCAGAAGGAATCATCTCCTGCCTGGCATCAGGAAAGGTTACCAAAGCAGGGACTAAAGATAAACCACCTGTATCTGTATGGACCTGCAGTTTAAGCACACAGTGAAGAGTTGAGACATGTCCTGTTCTGCCACCCTCAGCCCCTTGCACAACAGCTTGGGAGGTACACCAGAACTCCCTGTGATGGTGCTGCACTGGAGGGGATGTTTAGAGACAACCACAACCACCTGCCCCAATTCTACACCAAATGTAGAGTATTGGGAGGAGAACCTATCTCCTCATCTCCCAAGGGCCTTAAGGAATATTGTACAACAGAATCACGGATGGTTTGGGTTGGAGGGACCTTCAAGACCATCTAGTTCTAACCCCTGCAGGGACACCTCCCACTAGCTCAGGTTGCTCCAAGCCCCATCTAACCAGGCCTGGAACACTCCCAGGGATGGAGCAGCCATAGATTCTCTGGGCAACCTGTGCCAGAGCCTCAGCACCTCACAGGGAGGAATTCCTTCATTTATCTAACCTAAATTTCCCCTCTTTCAGTCTGAGCCCATTCCTCTTTTCCTACCCCTACAGCTCCTGATGCAGAGTCCCTCTCCAGCTTCCCTGTAGTTCCCTGAGACACTGAAAATTTTCCACACAACCTTCTCCTCTCCTTTATCCTTCAGCACCAACAGGAACCACTCAGCTCAGCCACCCCAGCTCACACCAACCAGTGTGTGCAACCACAACACAGCAGTGAGGACAGAAACCTTCCAAACACTTGCTCAGGTTGAACTAAAACCACCACACACTCATCCTTCTCCTCCTTCCCTCTCCACCAGGTGCAAGGAAGGAGTAGAACTGATCCATTTCAAGTCCAATACAGAACATTATACATAGATCTTTTCCCTCTCCACCAGGTGCAAGGAAGGAGCAGAACTGATCCATTTCAAGTCAAATACAGAACATTATACATAGATCTTCAGAAAGCCTTCAGTGTTGTTCCCACTTACAAACCTACTGGAGACAGATGCCCCTTGTGAGCTACTCTCCCAGCCTCACAGTTGGGTCATTTACCTCTTGTCAGCATTCCCAGCTGGAGAAAGAGGTTATGGCCTCTTGGCCAAGGGGAGGAGGGAGCCAATCCCTGTGTTTATTTGTTGGCTGTGCAGAATTCCTGCATTCCTTGCCCTGTTTACTCATCTGCTCCCAGGACACACTCCGAGCCCAGCGAAAGGGTTTTGGGGCACAACGTTCCTCTCCCTGAGTTTAGAGCTTTCACTGGAATCAGGACACCTGGACAGCTAAGACTGGTTCTTAGTTCTACCTTGGAGAAGCAAGATTTAAGCCCAAGAACAACTGGGCTGGTTTCTCCCTGCAGTAGCCCATCCCCAAGGCTCCAAGCAAGCAAGGAAGCTCCAGACAGAAGATAGGGATGACTGTGATGAAGAACAGGTCTTCACCACAGGATTAACCCATGAACTTAGCTCTAAACCTACAGGACAATCTAACTCAAGTGTGAACAGTCCAAAATCCCTGGTGAGAGCCTGTCACACAATTGTGTGTCGAGTCACCAGCCCTGGAGGTCTTTAAGGAGACACTGGACATAGCACTTAGTGTCATTGGTGTTAGGTCATAGAATCATCAGGGTTGGAGGAGACCTCTAAGATCATCAAGTCCATGGTCATAGGTTGGATTTGATGATCTCAGAGGTCTTTTCCAACGTGCTTGATTCTGTGATTCTGCTAGGACAGGACTTGCACTGAGGATGCTCCAACTACATCAGGTTCATTACACAGAGGACTGAGAACCTGCATCAAGCCTGGAGTTACCTCCACACCTTCAAGTCTTGAATACTTCCCTCACCAGAGATACTCAAGAATCATCTGGACACAATCCATGTGCTCTAGGATGGCCCAGCTGGACTAGGGAGGTTGGACTAGATATCCCACTGTGGTCCCTTCCAACCTGACCCATTCTGTGGAGTAAAATTAACAGCAAAGTCCTTTGCTTGGGTGAACCTTGGTTGCAACCACTGCCTTTGGCAGTGAGGTCAATGCCAGGCATGCCTTGTGACAAGAGTCCACTGACAGTGGACAGATTCCAGTGCCAATATTCAGGCATTGGAATGGGTTGCTCAGGAAGGTGGTGGAGTCACCATCCCTAGAAGTGTTTAAGAGGTGTCTGGATCTGATGCTGGAAGATATGGTTTAGGGGTTATAGCAGTGACAGGTTAATGGTTGGACTTGATGATCATCTCCAACCTTGATGCTTCTAGCAGATACAGCAGGATTTGCTCCTCAATCATCACCAACAAGCTCATTTACCCACAACCACTGACAAGCTAAGGACACAGGACACCCAACAGAGAATCCCAAGGGAATCCAGGCTCCATCCTCACCTTCCACACAGTGCTCCACCTCCTCCAGGTTGCGCAGGGTTATCCTCATGAGGCTGGAGTTGAGCATGAGCTCGTTGCGGTGTGCTGGCCACAGGTACTGTGGGGCAGGGTTGACGAAGAAAATCCTTGTGTCCCCAGTTGAGACTTGGTTGTCACAGATTAAAGGGTCCCCAAAGCCACCAATAACCACTTTGTTGCCACCATCCAAGAGGATCTCGTGAGTGACAATGTCTTTGCCTTTCAGGTATCGCCACACTCGAACCTTGAAGGAGAAGGAGAAAGAGCTCATGAGATCATTTCACACCCAATTGGCACATCTTGGCCTGGGGGAATCAGCAGATTGTCACAAGATGCCCAGGAGTGGCTCAGACTGGCAGAGACTTCCAACAGAGCTAATTTCATTAGCTCTAAAAGGACAAAATGTGTGGGCAAGAGACTAAAGCACACAGTGCTCCTCCTGCCAGAGCTCTCCCAACTCAGCCTGGAGAGGAAAAGGTTGTGTGAGGATCACACAGCAACCTTTCTGACACAGACATGCACACACCTCCTTCCAGAGAGGGATTCCAAAGGGATTGAAGAGGCAGGGAAGAGATGCTCACATGTTCACAGGGTCTATACCACCCTTGGGGAGCTGCTCACACTGCAGTTTCTCTGCTTAGCACTGGGGTTGGGGGGGGGGGAATTGTTCCAGAGGAGGAGGAAAGCACAGGGCAGACAGTATCCCACTGGAGAATGAACCATTCTGAGCTCTCTGCCACTGCAGCTCACTGGTCAGTGGCCTGTACAGCCCTTCCAGTGGGTTGTGTTCCCCTCTGGGCTCCTTTGAGACTGTTCAGACACAGAGACTCTTCTCCTTTGCCAAATGCCTCCATCCCATCACTCAGCGACTACAGAAGACACACACACACAGATCTGAGGCTGCAGAGTTCAAATCAGAGGGTAAAAACATGCTGAGGGCTAGAGGCAATGCAAGTATCATGACCTAGAACCAATCTTAGCACTTTTTGAAGCCCTAACTACAGAATTTCAGGGGTGGGAAGCTCAGCACTGAGTCCTGATCAAGAAGCTTTAAGGTCCACAATGATCCTAAGCCAAACTCCTCCATCCTGTCCCTGCTACAGGTGTTGGGATAAGGGAACAAGGCCATTCCCACTGCTACAGGAGCAATCAGGCTGGTGCAGGACCCTCCTGCTCTGCACCAGATCCACCTGTCAAGCAGGAAAAGGGAAGAGATTGAGTGTTGCTTGTGCTCTACAGGTACAACTGAAGGTTAAGAACAAAGGTTAGGAGTGTATTTTCATCTCAAATCCTACTTCTCACACCTTCCCCCTCAGGTGTAACATTTGTCTGCCTTGAGAAGGACCTTGGATTGATGAGTCTCAGCTCTCAGCCAGCCCAGCAGGTCCTGTGACCCAAAGAGCAGGATATTATCCAAACAGCTGTACATGAAGGGAGGTGAGCCCTGTTCTCCTGCATACCTGAGCTCCAAAACCACCCCAGGTATCAACACCACTGTGACAGCTCCTCTTTGCAAGCTGAACATGCCTCAGCTGCTCCCAGACACAGAGAGCTTCACTACAGACAGGTCCCCTACACATTCTCACACTCATTTGTCTTCCAGCACGAAGGGACTCAGCATCCCTTGGGTGCTAAACCATTCCACAGCACCAAAGCACAGGGAGGAACTCATGTGCAGGATATGTCCCTCCCTGCACAGCCCAAATCCAAACTGCTGACAGGGGGAAGGAAAGGGACTAGGAAAGCAATGCCCTCAAAGCCATTGGGGGTTGGAACTGGGTGGTCTTTAAGGTCTACAGCTTCCTCAGGAGAGGCAATGGAAGGGCAGAACTGATGTCTTTTCTCTGTGATCAGTGACAAGGCCTGAGGGAATGGCATAGAGCTGTGTCAGGGGAGGTTTGGGATGGATATTAGGCCAAGGTTCTTCCCCCAGAGGTGTTGGGGCACTGGAATAAGTTTAGTTAGGATATCAGGACAAGGTTCTTCCCCCAGAGGTGTTTGGGCACTGCAACAGCTCCCAGGGCAGTGATCACAGCCCCAGGCCTGACAGAGCTCCAGGAGTATTTGGACAACACTCCCAGGCACATGTTGGATTGTTGGGATGTCCTGTGTAGGGACAGGAGTTGGACTGGATGATCCTTATGGGTCCTTTTCCACTTAAGATATTCTGTATCCTAAGGTCCCTCCAAGCCAACCCATTCCATGATTCTCTACGATTCTAAGGTCTCTCCAAGCCAATCCATTCCATGATGCCCAGCCCTGTGCACAGCCCTGACAGCACCAGCTCTGCTTTGGAAAAAGAGAGAGATGGCAATCAAGCAGCTAACAGAGGGAGCCTCAGATGGCACAGGAGGAGAGCTGTGACAGGCAGCTTTCCTCCCTTCTGATCCAAGAGGAATCCCAGCATCCACACAGACATCTGCTCCACCACATGCAGCTGGTGCCACAGGAGGCAGCAGCTCCCTTCAAAGAGCCACTGTGACCCCCCAGGTGAGTGAGGGAGCCAAGGTGCTAAGAGCACAGCTTGCCCAGCTCTCACACAAGCCTGTGCTAACCCCAACCTCCTCCTCTTCCCCACCCTGGACCAGCTGTTCCTCCAGAATTTCCCAGCAGCACAACTCCCCGTGGTTGTGCTTCTCCCTGCAGTCAAGTCAAGACACCTTCCTGCAGCCCCACCTCCTCCTCCTCCTCCTCCTCTTCTCCAGCAGCCTCAGGGCAGGAGCTGTGCGAGGTGAAGTGCTCAAGCAACCAGGGCAAAACCTCAGGAATACAAAAGAGACAAAAGAAGAGGGGGGGGGAAATAAAAAAAATAATAAAAAAAAGACACCAGGCAGGCAGAGAGCACAGCCTGAGGCTCCTGCTGGAAAGGTGGATGTAGAGCGTTTTTTCCAGCTAAGTTTAAGGGGGGAGAAAAGGCTCCAGCCCACCCCCCTCTCCTGGAGCAGATGGTAATTGAGTTAATTGGCATGGCTGCTGTAGTCATCCACCTGAGAGCCAGGCCACAGCACTCCCAAGCACCAGCAGAGTCCACCAGCTTTCTCCCCACCCTTCTCCTCTCTTAATGAATGGCTGGGAAGGCACCAAAGACCAAGCAATTACCTGTAGGGCATCCCATTCATCATCACACACAATTAAGACTTTGTCACTCATGACTCACCGGCTACAGCAAGGATTGGGGGAGAAAAAGGACTGGAGAGAAAGAATTGGGCTGGAATCTATTTCCAAGAGGTCTCTTCCCTATGGCAGAGTCACTCACTCACTCTTTTGCCAGGGAGCACATAAAACACTGGATTAAGAGTGTTTTACAAGGCTCCTGGCAGCTCCAGGGAGGCACAGTAAGAACAGCAATAACTTTATTCAAGCAGATCCTCACAAGGATATATTTTAAGAGCAGTAAAAAAGCAGAAAGTAAAAGGATTTTCCACTATCACACAGCAGGGAATGGACAACCTGTAGAGGAACATGCAGTGCTAAGGAATTCCTGCAGGAATGTGCTTTGAGAAGTGGCAGCCTTGGTTTGGGAAGGGAAGATGAGAAGTTAGAGCACAGACTCCTCTGAACAGCAGTAAAAAGGGGCACTACTGCATTTTGGCAGTGATGGGAGATGAAGGAGCATCAGCTTTGGGCAGTGGTGGGAGATGAAGGAGCATCAGCTTTTGAGAGATGAAGGAGCATCAGCTCTTCTTGCAGCTTCACTTTGCCCAAGCCTTCCCTCCTGCCCACACACCATCCCTCTCCACTTATGCCTTTCCCTGGCAGAAGCCACTTTCCCTAGGAGCCACCAAACCCACCTCCCCCAGCAACTTGCACATCCCTCCCTGCCTGGAGAACAGCTGCTGTGACCCCCCAAAATCCAAGCTCTATTGTTTGCAACAGGATCCACATCCTTTTCACCACTTCCTATAGCACATATAGAACCTGGATTTGGCCTATAAATAGGAGCTGCCTTCATAAATCTCAGGATAGCTCAGAATGAGGCACATCAGAGGACTCAGAGCAGGAAGGGACAATGCCAACACACAGAGGATGAGCAGCTTGGGAAGAGCAAGTGAGCACAGAGCTGATTCCCATATCAAACCCCTTGGAAAAACAGCACATCAGCCACTTTTGGGAGTCCTGTCAGCCCTGTCCCTCCTTATCCATCTCCTCTAGCAGCACATGAATGGTTGGTAGCTATTTCTGGGTGTTTATCTAACATTAACTTTGCATTTCTTCTGCCCTGTAACGTGCTTATCTTCATCTATCAAAGGGTTCAGCTGGGAGGGTTTGGAGTTTAACTAGGAAGAACAATACCTGAGTGCAGCACTCACAGATATCCACATGCCTATTCCCTCCCAGACCACCCAGCACCAGGCACATTCACTATTTTGGGTGTGGGTTCCAAGGAACTCCTACCATACACTTGGCCTTTCCTCTCCTGATAAAGAAGAACCTGACAAGAGATAACTGTGGTATTTTAAGGTAATCCCAGTGCCTGAGGAATGGTTAGCAGAGTACGACAGGGAGGAACTGGACATGACTTTTCTCACCAGCAAGATCCTTTCTGTCCCTGAGCTTATCCCATTTCTCACAGGGCACAAGGGTGAGAGCAGCAAATAGTCAGGTCTGATGCCCAAACTGCCCTGTTGGAATCCAAGTGCTTGGTAAAAAGAAACTCAACCCAAAATGCAACACATCTAGCCCAGCATCAGCAGAATCCACAGTAACTCCAATACTTGGGAGATCCTGGAGTGAAACAAGGGAACAGCTGCTGCAAAGCTATGCATTCCCAAGTCATTCTAGTTAAGGGAGATTTATTTGTTTGCAGGTCCTTAAGGCACCCCCAAGTCCCATTTCAAAGGGTTTTTCCTGCCAACACACTATGAAATGCTATTAAAACTGACACAGAACAGGCTGAGGTGCAGGTAAAGGCACTGAAGAACCTCTGCTCTAAGAAAACAGCACAGTGTGACCAGCACTGCCCACGAGAAGGGCAGGAGAGAAGCTTTTCCTCCTTTCACTTTCTGTTACAGGACCTCAAGACCTAAATAGTGTCTTGGGAGTATGTTCTGGCCTCTGTGGGCTGTTATGACACTAATAATGGGCAGAAGCAAAATCTCCCTGTTCACTCCAGAGTAAGTAGCACAAGCTGCTCCACAGCATTGCTGGGATGGCTCAGGAGAATCACAACACCACTGAGGTTGGAAAAAATCCTCCAACATCATCAAGTCCAACCTTTGACCAATCACCACCTTGTCAACTAGACTAAGTGTCACATCCAGATCTTCCTTGAACACCTCCAGGGCTGGTGACTCCACCACCTCCCTGGGCAGCTCACTGTAATGCTTTAAAAGACAAGCAAAACTCTCTTGCCAAGATAAGGAATGCAAACTGAGCCTCACATAAAGCCACCAAAGGCAGCCCAGGTTTCTCCTCACTGCTCCAACTCAGGCTGGATTGCACCTTCCAAAGGCAGAGCTGCTGAGCAAGCAGCTTTCCCCATCACAGCTTCTCCTGGCCCAGGGTCCTGCTCTGCTGCAGTAAGATGATTCTACACTAGCCAGACACCTTGCTGTGTGCCTGCAGTGGGAGGAAAGAGACTCCTTTCTCACATGAGCATTTCTGCCTCATCCTTAGCCCCACCAGAGCATCTCCTGCTCACTCCTGGGGCAGCCCTACCCCAGTCTCAGGTGGCCTCATCCAGCCATATGTGCTCAGAGTGCTGCAGGACACAGGCTGCTCCCAGCAGCTGATTAATTTGCCACATAGCACCCAGGATGTGCCAGACACTCTGCAAACATACGGTCCCCTGCTCTAGCCTGGAGGGTCTGTGAGCTAATTGCCAAGGTACAGCTTGTTCTGGGTGGTGTGGCAAAGCAGTGGGAGAAGGCACTAAGCACCAGCTGCACACACAGAGGCTCTTCAACTACTTTCCCGAGCTGAGAGATGCTCAAAACACAAAGCAACACCATGGGGTAAAGTTCACCTCCTGCACCAGCAAACCTCTCCCACTAACACACTGCTGAGCATCACCCCAAGCTCTGCTCAGCATCAACCACAGGCAGGAACCGCAGGATTTTGGTAAGGATGGGCAGAAAAAGGGATTGGGGGAGAAGAGGGAAAGGCAACGTAGCTGCATGTCCTTGCAAGTGAGATTCCTGCCCCGGGAAGGGTTAAGCTATCCAGCACGTTTTCTGTCAAGCAGGCGGATGGTATTTCAGGTTGCTCAGTACTTTACCGTCTCTCTGCTTAAGGGGGGGAGGAAAAAAAAAAAAACAAAACCCATAGCCAGAGGGCAGATTCGTAGTTAAACAATAGCTTGAGCTGGAGGAACTCAAGATGCTGCTAAAGTAAACAAGGAACCTTGAGTAGAGGCAGCTCCGAGCACCTTTCCCAGTAACCAGAGAGAGAAAGTTGGGAGTCAGCTCCGCATCACAACCAGGAGGGAAATGCCCATAAAAAGCAACCTTGCGAGATTTCCCCCCCGACACAGCTGTGGGAGCGAGTCCTCAGGCTAAAAATACCTAATTCCAACCCAAAGCGCACACAATCAGAACCACATGCGGGGGCTGAAAGTTTTTCCTCCTCCTTTACCTTGCAGGAGTAGGTGTGGTGAACCGGGTCCACGTTCATGATCTCCTCCACTGTGCCCGTCAGCACCACGTTGGCCTCCTCCTCCCTTCGCTCCAGCTCTCGCTCGGGGCAAGTCGCCAGTCCCAGTCCCAAACCCAGTCCCAGTAGTGCCAGTAGAGCCCGAGCACTGGGCGCTCGTTGCCTCCCCATGGTCCTGGTGCCGGTGCCGATGCCCCGACGGTGCGGGCAGACAAAGCGGCTCCGCTCCTAGGCAGGGCTAGCGCAGGGAAAAAGGGCTACTTTTGTTCCATGAGGTGAAAAGGAGGAAAGAAAGAGAAGAGGGAGGGAGGCAGCAAGGGGAGGGGAGAGCAGGGGAGGGGAGAAGGAAGAAAATCCCAAGAGGAGGAGGAGGAGGAGGAGGAGGAGATATCTCTTCCCCGAAGCCGCGGCCGGCGAGAAGCGCTCGGTCCTCTGTGCCTTGCCCCTGGAAGAAAGCTGGCAGATTTGCATGCAATCTGAATTGCTGATAAGGAACGAGCGCGGGGGGTGAGAGGAGGGAGGGAGAGAGAGAAAAAAAGAAAGGGAGGAAGGCAGCGAGTCCGCCCGCCCTGCTGCCAGCTCTTATTGCGGAGCTGCCGCGAACGCCACCCCCAGGAAAGGGAGCTCGCCTCGGGTTAATGGATAATCAGCGCCGCAACGTGAGGAGACTTTTAAAGGTGTAGGGACCGCAGCCAGCCCTGCCATCCTCCCATCCTGCGCTGCAGCTGGTGCTCAGTCCCATCCCGCGCTCCCCCAGCCTCGGTCCTGCATCCTCGGGGTGCGACTGCGGGAGGCTCGG